ATAAATAGATCTAAGGTATCTTTCCTTTCGAGGTGTTCACGTAGTTTACAGGGAGCCGAAATTTTAGAGAATGAATTATACCCATGTTCTGTTCGTATTTCAAGCATGCTTGATCAAATTTTTTTTGTACATTACTCATCTACACGAAAGACAACAATGCACAGCGAATAGGCATTTCATCCAATTCACTAGAGACCACCTGACAAAGCAGTCACGTATCTCTGTGATGTTCCTATCAAAAGTTATTTATAAAACAGTGGATCACATTATTTAATGAAATGGGCAAAAGTTACTAAGAAAAATCAAAACTGAGTTATTTCATTTTGGTCACATTTTTTATATATTTTACCTTGTAGGAACAAGGAAAACGGCTCGTACACTATGTTTTCAAATGAGATCTTTTCAAATAACTGGTGTCCGTAGATTTTCATAAGCACCTTCGTGGTGTGTTCGTAGACGATTATGTATGCCAAAATGCGGTTAAAAAAATGTTACTAGATATTTATAGACACAGTTTTGATAAAATGGTACATGTTTTGCGTCACGATTGATTGCAATGAGTGTTTATTTTCATTGGGCTGGTGTTCGTAGATTTTCAAGCATGTTTGAGAGATGTTCGCAGATACATAAGTGCTGTTCGCAGACAAATTTTGACTTGCGTCATTCGAATCTTCTATCGGACCCGTTCGAAGTAGTTGTTCGTGGACACAACTCATTGAGTTCTATCTACATATATAAATAGATCTAAGGTATCTTTCCTTTCGAGGTGTTCGCGTAGTTTACAGAGGACCAAAATTTGTTACACCGCAGCAACACAGTTTTCTACACAGGTGTTGTTTTATTTCACTGCCAATACGGTGAAAGAAATATTTATTATTAGAATCCTTTTACATTTAATTTTCATTATGATAGGGGTTGAGTCCAAAACATGTACGAATTCCTATCAAGTTTAATAATAATAAGCTAAACTTTAGTTAACTAAAACTACTCCGTCCAATGTCGGTAAATAAGGACAAATACAAACAATTAAATCGTTTTTCGTGTCTGATGCATATGGTGTCATTTAGCACCAATGGATAAATGATAATAATTACGTAGAATCGAGCAATATACATGGGGCTTTCAATGCAGGATGAGCAAATAATTACGATTGATATCTGAATCTGTATTCGAATAATCAATTCTACAATAATTTGAATTGGAATCAAGGTAAAAGGTCACCAACATTTTATTACAACCATGCAACTACTAAACAACTATCTCTAAAATATATGTTTGCCATTGAACTTTATATATAATTTTTTGTTTTAATTAAAACTGAAAATAACAGAATATGAAGGACCATATTTAATTTCTAAAAATTTCATCGTTCGAGAAACAAGAATCCACACTTCCGCATCTATACTCATAGTTTTAATGTGATTGTCTTTGCTAGAGATATTTAGCAATTAAATACAATTCTCTTTCTTATAGAAAATAAGAAGATGCATATATGATTGAATAGAACTTGAGTCAACTCCCTACTAACAACTATATCCACGACAACAGTAATACATTTACACCATAGTTATTTTTTCGTTGACTCATCGTTCGATAAAAAAGAAATATATATAAGTTACTCAACATTGGCGTTGTGTTGTGTAATTTTTTTCATATAAATTACTTTCTTTTACTTCATCAACAAAGGACAGAATAAAAAAGTCTAATAATTTAATTGATACAGTTAACTTTTCCTTGGCTTGTCTTGCTTAGGCATCTTATCATTATTACATCTGGACGATATGCACAGTCGATATTTTTAAAAATTTTATTGTTTAGTTCGACAACGGTTTGACAATAATATCATATATATTCATATAAAATAACAGAATAAAAATATTTATTCTTAGAAGTTAAATTTTGAATAATGGTGGATTTTAGTACTCAAACTGTTTCAAATAGTGAACATAGTGCACGAGATTTATCAGCATTAGCAAATGATGCATTTCTTGCTACATTAATAAATAGAACACAAATGAAACATAAAGATCTTCATTCACAATATAGAGATATTATTGATTTTGATCCAGCTATTATATCAATTGGTCGATCTGTTAACAGCCAAGTAGAAAATAAAATATTTTTAACTATTTTATCTTGCAATTCTTTTAGCATTCAATAGATAATCATAATTATTGTGATTTTTTCAATGAGAAATATAATGATAGATCTTCAAAATCGAGTTATCGATATCGAACTTGTTCCAATAATCAACAACAAATAAATATTGTTGATCAATTGATTAATCAACCACATATTCCATATGCTTTATTACCAAAACATTTCAAGTCAAAACAGATCTCAAATGATCGTACTCAACATCCTCAACGGGAAGACGATTTAAGAGAAAATAATCTATGGCACAAATCAATGATTCATCGGCATCATGTGCCGACTAATTGTTACTGTATGCGATATATTAAACATAATTATAATTTATATCCCTATCGATCATCTCAAAAGTGTTCTCATATTTCATTGAATATCTTGTCATCTTATAATAACAATCAATGGCAAGATCCTTATGTATATTCAGATCAATCTTTATTTTCGTCACAACAACGCGATAGATTTCGGTAAACAAAAAAAAACAACTACGTCTTTTGTTTTGTTGAACTAAAAGTTTTTAAAAATATTTATAGACGGTATGATAATGGTTGTATTCATGATGATCATCGGATAAAGACTTCCATACGGCAAACACGTAATGATGGCGGAGAAAAACAAAAAAAAATCAATGATATTAATTACTGAAAAAAACCGTGAACTATTGACAAATAATTGACCAAACCAAATATTTTTTCTCTGTTGGTTTTTAACTGTAATATTTTGTCTATATATGTTTTTTTTGTCTTCTGATTTAACAAAGAATGAATATATCGACATTTAGTCGTATTAATAATTCGATTTAAGCCGATGTAGGTGTGGATGTGAGTACGACTGGGGGTATGACTCGTTATAGATTCTCTTATCACAGTCACACCCTACATCTACACCCTATTTTACATTTTGTTGCCGTCTGTTTCTGATATTTTGAAAGGAATTATAAGATTATTGCTTCTCCTTATAATATGTCACATGATGTATTTAAATAGAAGATCAACCATATTTCTTCAAATTTGAACTTTCTTCATCGGAAGATATTTTAATTGGATAGTATGATGATCGTAAGCATCAATATTTCCTAAATGAAATATCTGACATCAAAAATATTTTTGATATTTAAATGCTGATGCCTAGTGATTTAGATGCGTTTCCTAAAAGAAAACAGTTTATAGACAAATAGATATATACTTTATGAAAGCGCAGTAAAAAAGGAAGAAAAACAGTAAAGAATCCAATAAGAGTTCCTTTCGTGCGACAAGCAGACGCACGAACAAGATCGGCGTCGAAACATTGAAAAAGCGACATGGAAATATTTTCCATAGTATCACGAAACTCTCACAAAAGTTAGCTCGGTAACCCGGCATCTGAATTCATAAGCATAATCATACCCAGGTCATTCCTTTGATTGATCAACATCATATGGAATATACCTATCACGAAACCAGTATGACCGATCTATCGACGACCATCTTTCATGATTTGCCAATACTAACTAAGGGCAAACTGTACTACTGGTGGTTGTTCCGTAGAGTTATCGATCGGCTGTAGGTTATAGTATGGTATAAGTCCACCGCCGGCCACTGTTCGCATTTCACCAATCGATTGTGGACGAAGAACAGAAGGCCCAGTATTGAGAAATATACGAAGATATATGGCTAGGGTAGCAGCCGACAAACGTAAAAGACCGACTGGATATGCGCTGAAACTAAAATGTCGGGTATAAAGCCTATTCGCAAGATCGCTCTAGACAGAAATTAATCAAAGTCAACTCTGACAATCATGCTGATACATTTACTCGTACTTGTGTAACATTCAATTATGGTATTAGCCGATTCCATTCTATAATATAAGATATATTGGCTGCATAATTATAATGCTTGACAAGATCTTCTGTATTTGAAAAATCAGACAACCGTACGCCAACTTTGGTGAGATCGGCACCTAGTGGCTACAATATTTTTTTCTCTAACATAATTAATCTAAGACATATTCGAAACTCGTTCAACAACTCACACAACTAGTGATGAGCTCTCATTTGAATACCATGTCACGCTACCCGATGGTTTCGGTAACCAGTTCGATGTGTTTGGGTTCACATATTTGAGACACATGTCAGCTAATGGTTCATTAGATGCTTCATCGCTACATAGATAATACGTATTTAGCACTAGAGGACTTACAGAGACCGAGGCTGAGTGTGAAAATAACTTGCGTAAAATGATCGAATGCAATGGATATTGTCGATCGCATATACGTTTCTGTGGTTCTGATAAATGCATGTTAACATCAGTATCAAGGTCAACGAGCTCTTGTTCAACCAGCTGCATAACAGCAGTAGCGATGAATGATCTCGAAATCGAAGCAAGGGTGAAAATAGATTTGTCAATGTCCATAGGTTGTCACGGTGATAGGGAGTGATAGCTAAAGACTTGTTCGTAGAGTACATGACTGGGATTCACTACAACGATTGCGGCTCCTAAAACATGAATTTTCTTGAGAGATTCTTCTATCCATTACCGATTTGAACCATTGCTAGTTGCACTTTTGAAAATACAGGCAATTACTACCAATAGAAAATACACTATCACTCGATTCTTTTATGAAACACGATCTAAAAGGAGTGTTGAAGTATATCAGATAGAAATTTGTGACCATTCCTCCCCACACAGATCATGAAAAACGCTTTATTTAATTAAGTAATTAACAAACTAATTAACAAAGAATTAATGACTAATTAGTACGCAATTAATTGCTAATTAATAACTTACTAATGATCCCTAATGAATAACTAATGAAAAAATTGTTGGAGGATGTATTTTGAAAAGTAAACCACAGCCTTCTACCTGCAGACCATAACAGATGAACCTGAAAGACCATCGCAGACCGTGACAGATTGGCTCCGAAGACCATCTCAATTCGTGAAAGATGTTTTTGATACACAATTAGCGATCATATGTCACTAAAATCTCATGACAATATATGGCCTGCTTTCTTCGTCCAGTGCTAGAGAATTAAGTAAAAGATGATGAAAAAATATTCCCAAAGTAGATCAAGTAAAACAATATGCTCATGATTAGTAATAACAGCTGCATCGTGTTATACATTTTAATCCTGCAGGAATTGCACTAACAGCTTTTTTGTGTAAATGTATTTTTTATATTATTCTATGATAATCATGATAAATAAATAATTCCTGTGTTGTTAATCAAATCTTTTTTTTTTATTTTTATTTTTATTGCCTTTTCTGTGAGAAAGGGGTATAGGACAGTAAATAAACCTGAATGTGTTTGTCCAAATCAATCAAAAAACAGCATGGGCTACACCCATAGCAACAGCTTTTGTTAGCCGTCGAAAATCTTAACTAAAAAGTATTTTGGGTAGGAAATCTGAATTCGAGGTCAATTTTGCCCTAGTATTAATATTAATTAATAGTTAATCAGAGGTTCAAATAGATTAGCAGATAGCATAGATTTGGAAAAGATAATTCCCATATAAGAAAAGAAGGGAAAAAATCTGATTTTAATCATTTTGTTTTCGTTTTCTTCTTGCATCGGAAAAGTCTGTATTTCGTTGTGTTATATCTTATCATTCACAAATCAGTAAAACAGTCAATAAAACTGATCAAAGCCGTGCTAACGTTAATTATATAGGAGTTTTCACCGTCACCATTGTGCAGTGAACTCCAAGTTTTAATCGATTATAATTTTGATTATATCCATAGTGTGACAATAATAAGAGCATTGTCTATGTTCATGTTCAATTGGTTCGATGATGTGAGAGTATTCCGTCACTATATAGCATGAACAAGAACATAACTGTCAGCTCACTCTATCATCAATTCACTATTTCTCTTGTTCGTACATAATTCTGTGTTCTATGTGAAGTAGACACAACTAACGTGATGGATTACTGTTTTGGACATCTATACCGAGGGTGGTAGTAACGCTACTTCTCCTTTTTTTCATTCATGATCACAATAAAATACACATTGCAATACTAACGAAATAGAATATTATCTTTTCCGCTTTCTCTCATTTTCGTTCCACATAGGAGTTTGAAAACCCTCCACCTGGAAAATATTTTTCCGCACTCAGTAGTGCCATTTCTGATCTAGACTAGTCAAATGTCTTAAAGCGCTAATTTTGTTTCAACGTAACTATTCCTACAACTGGTTTAGATTGGTCCGTATAGAAACAAAAATGCAGTCATTTGTAATGCAACTACTTTTTAAACATCTTTATCATAGTTAGCAATAAGTAATGGATAATTCGGTATCTTTAGAATATGGATCAGATAGTAGAATGATAATCGTTTCGCTATTATTTTTTGATTAAGAGTTAACTGATACTAAGACGACAAATTTAAAGTGACATTTTAAAATGTTGCAGTCTTAAAATTCGGATCTGTTGAAGTTAAAATCATACATTGCCCTATGAAAACACGTTTTTCTCGTCTTAATTGACAGCGTAGTGAAATCTACTACGTAGTGATTATGAAAATTAATATTTGTGCTTACATTTTTATTGATATACATGTAGACTGTTATTGGTGTTTTTGTTTTTTTTCTCTAATTAAAATGCTAACAAGAAGAGACTTTCAAAATTAAAGGTAATATCAAGGACAGGCAACATACTTAAGGCCACCCCCCCCCCTCCAAAAAAGTCACTTTTCGTCAAAAAAATGAAAATTGAGATAAA